CAGCCCCAGCCCCTTGCTGGCCCCAGCACCCCTAGCATCAGCTCCCATGGCCCCATCCAGCCCCCCAGCCCCAGCCTCTGCCTGGCCCCAGCACCCCTAGCATCAGCCCCCACAGCCCCACCTGGCCCCCAGCTCCCAGCTTACGTCGAGCAGCAGCCGGACCACTTCCGTCTTCCCGCAGAGCGCAGCCTCGTGCAGGGCCGTTCCGGACTTGGTCTGGCGGTTAATGTCAATGCCGGCTTGGAGGAGGAGTCTGGGGAGGGCAGGAAAGTGGGCAGAGCCCTGCAGCAGGAGCCCTCTGCCCCAGCCCCCAGCCAGGCCCCAATTCCCTGAGGATGGGTGGCCGACCCTGCCCAGTCTCCCCAGAGACACTGGTGGGAGGGCCAACCCAGCTAACACCCTCAGCTGTTGTCTTGTCTGATGGTAGCCTCGGCCATCCTGTGATGCCCACTTTGTGGATGGGGAAACTGAGGCTCAGAGAGGTTAAGTGCCTTCCACAAGGTCACACAGTATGGCTGTCCGGCTGTAAAGGCCACTCCCTGGCCAGCTCCCAGGCAGTCTCCCGCCCTAGCCCCACCAGCTCAACCTTTACGTGGGCGGCTGCAGGGCCGACCATGTCCCCACAGCTGCCTACTGCCCTGTCTCTCCTGTCGCAGCCAGGAGCAGAACCCCTCAGCCCAGGACACCATCGAGTCCCAGGCTCCCAGGGCTGGGAGCCCTCCCACACGACTATACCTGATGATGTCGATGTGGCCGTTCTTGGCTGCCAGGTGCAGGGGGCTGGTGCCATTGGGGTCGGTGGTGTCCCCAGGCCGGGGCTCCAGCAGCGCAGCACACATGTTGCTACTCAGGAGCAGCTGGACCACCTTGAAGTGGGGGGCAAGGCAGGGGGCACTGGCGTGGGGCGTGGGTCTCAGGGGTCTGCCCCACCCCTACCCCAGGCAAGGAGATCAGAGCAGATGGAGTGGGGGGTGGGGAGCTGAGCCGGTCCCTCCCACTCAGCTCCCAGAGAGACTTACCCCAACACGGCCAAACTCGCAGGCCAGGTCCAGGGGTGTCTTTCCCGAATTGTCCACGATGCAGGGGTTGGACTGGTGCTGGAGCAGCATCTCAGACTGCGGGGGACCCACAGGCGCCTGTCAGGACATGCTGCCCGGCCCAAGGGTGCCCGCCAGGCCACGCCGCCCTCCCTGCCCACAGCCCGGCCCTCACCACGTCATAGTGCCCATGCTGAGCTGCCAGGTGCAGGGGGATGTGGCCCTCGTCTGACGGGACATTCACCGCCGAGCCTGCCTTCAGCACCAGCTTCATGGGCTCCTTCCGGCCCTGCCACGCCGCGTAGTGCAGCGGCCGCATGCCTGGGGGAGTGGGGGCTGTGGGGGCTGACCTGGCCCGACCCTGAGCCCAGGCCTGACCCACAGGACACTGATCCCATGAGGACCTGCTCTGACCCAGACAGAGACCCTGGGCTATGACCACAATCAAGGGGCTGTCCAGGCCTCAGGGCCCCACCCCTGACCCTGGCCCTGAACCCTGGACTGTCCAGACCTCCAAGGACCCCACCCCTGACCAGAACACTGGACTCCAGACCATCCAGGCCTCTGGGGGACCCCACCCCTGACCTGGACCCTGGACCATCCAGGCCTTGGGAGACCCCACTCCTGACCCTGGACCCTGGACCATCCGGGCCTTGGCGGACCCTGCCCCTGCCCCAGGCACTTCGTGTCCCTGGCCCCACCGGCCCTACCTTTGTTATCCTTGATGTCCACGGCAGCCTGGGCGTCCAGCAGCAAGGAGATCAGCTCAGTGTTGCCATTCAGGGCCGCGTGGTGCAGGGCGGAGAAGCTGGGTGGGTGGCAGACACGTATGGGAGGGGGTTGAGCACTCCCCAGCACCCCAGGAGCCCGATCCCCATGCCAGGCTGGTGCCCTTGGCTAAAAACTCACCCGTCTGCGTCCTGAAAGTTGACATTGATCTTCTTGGTGGAGCCCAGGAGTTCTAGGGGTGGGAAGGGGGCATGGTGAGGGGAAGGGAGGCCCAGCCCTTGCCAAGGCCTACGTGGCTCCCAGCCCCTCTAGGCCCTGAGAGCAGGGAGGGGTGCTGCTGGCCCCCGGTGGGCTCAGAGCCCAAAACATTCACTCACTCACTCATCTGTGCCCTGTGCTTGGCTCCAGCACAGCTCTGTGGACCTGCTGTCCCGCTGCACTGTGAGGTCAGGAGGGTCAGGGTGCCGAGCCCCCGCTGACCCTGGACAGGAGGCAGCGTTGGGCACGATACAGCACACACGTGTGCACACGCACCCCTCCCTCTCTGGGACGCTGGTGGAGCACCCTGCAGCAGCAGGAGGAGAGAGCCGCCCAATCTGTCTCTCAGAAGGACCCAGATGGGGCCGGGGGTGGCCCGGCGCGGGGGAACATGAGAGACGGGGTCTCACTGGGGATGGCAGTCCATGGGGCAGCCTCCCCACTCCCGAGCCCAGGCCTGTGCAGACCACCCACCCTGCCTGGGCCAGGAAGGGCCAGGGCGTGAAGGGCAGAAAGGGGTGCAGGCAGGGTGCCCAGTGCCCCCGAGTGACCCAACACGAGCGCCCCTCTTGTCCACACGGGGCCACGCCCAGCCCGCCTGAAGCCAGAGGGGCCTGACGCCCTCCCTCTGGGCCTCCATCTCCTCCTGGGCCCCCCTGTCCTGGCCCCCACCAGCCGCCTGACAGAGAAGGGGAGCCCCCCGCACCCCCGACCCGTGGACTCCAGTCCAACAGGACTCCGGCCAAGCCCCTGCCTGCCCAGGCCATGGTTACATAACCCATTTGTGGGTCAGACGCTCTGTGAGGGAGGGGGCTGGCGGGACAGAAGCCCCTTTGTCCAGGCCCAGGATGGGGTGGGGGGAGGGCCCCAGGGCGGGGGAACCAAGAGAGTGAAGCCACAGAGAGCCCAGAGCTCTGGGTCCCCAGCAGCCCCTGTGCGCAGGCACGGGTCACCCAGCAGCCAATGAAGCCCAATGGACCTGGGTTCGAATCCCAGCCCTGCCACCCCGCCACTCACTGGGCCAGACCCTGGCCCCTGGTCTCCTCCTGAAGCTTGAGACACAGGGTTGGGGGGGCACTGGCAGGGCCGGCCTCACAGACGAGCATGCATTAGCAGATGTGAAGCGCAGGGTCCGGCAGGAAGTCGGGGCCCGGAAATTGGCAACCACTAACATTAGCTATACAGGAATCCCACCCCCACCCTTGGGAGCAAGCGAGGGGTTTCTCCTGCAGGAGCAGAGGGAAGGCTCCAAGGAAAGAGGTACTCCCAGCCTCCCCTGTGTCCTCCCTCACAGCTCAGACACCTTTGCTGGCACCGCGGTTCCTCACCCTCCCCTCGGCAGGCCACTCAGCCAAAAGCCTGGCGTCATCCCTGGGCCCTTCATTGCACCGCTTCTACCTTCTCCATCAGTAAATCTTGTTGGCTCTGCCTTCAAGATACTCACACCACTTCTCACCCTGCCACCACCACTGCCACCACCCTGGTCCAAGCCTCCTCTCTCACTGGCATCCCTGCTTCTGCCCTGCCCCCGTCTGTCTGTCCTCCATGCCCACTGCAGTCAAGGAGGCCCTGTTAGAACATCCACTAGGACCACTTCACCCATGACTTTCACCACCCTTCTCCAGCCACTCGGGCCTCCTTGATGTTCCTCCAACACACCAGCCGCTCCTGCCACAGGGCCTTTGCATGTGCCGTGTATGTGTGGTTTCTTCTCCCAATTAGCCTGCGACTCCCTGTCTCTCCACCTTCAGGTCTTTGTTGAAATGTCCCCTTCTTAGTGATCCCTCCCCAGCCTCCCTGTCTAAAACAGCAACCCTCTTCCCATTCTGCTTCTGTTGTGTTCTCGCTAGCCTCGTCACCACCTGCCACATCACGTATTTTCCTGACCTATCTTGTTTATCGTCCGTCGCCATCGCTAAACGGAAAGCTCCAGCTTTTATCTGTTTTGTTCACTGCTGTGTCTTTGGTGCCTAACACCGTGCCTGGTGCGTTGGAGGCGCTCAGGGATTTGCTGGCTGACCTTAGCCTTGTCCATGTGCTCTGTGCAGCTGTCGGGCCAGCAACCTGCACAGCTGCTCAGAAGGGCCCCGTGCCTGGTTGAATGTCCTGCGGTCGCCATCTTGAAAGTCTTAATAATTTCTGAGCAAAGAGCCCCACACTCGTATTATGCCGTTGCCTCTCCCCTGCCTGCCCTCCACCCCAACGCTCATCCCCCCGCCATGCTCATCCCCC